CAGCCACCGCAGCCTCGACCTGCTGGGCTCCGGCCTCAGCCTTCCAAGTAACCGGAATTACAGGCATGTGCTACCACGACCGGCTGATTTTTTGATTTATTGTAGAGATGAGGTCTCGCTGCCCAGGCGGGTCTCGAACCCGTGGGCTCAGGCAATCCACTCACCTCAGCCTCCCAAAGGCACAGGATTACAGGCTGAACCACCAAGCCCGGCTGTTTTTTGACTTTTTAATGACAGCCATTCTGTCTGGTGTGAGATAGTATCTCATTGTAGTTTTGATTTCCATTTCCCTGATGATTACTGATGCTGGTCTAATTTCTTTCTTTCTTTCTTTTTTTTTTTTTGAGTCAGAGTCTCACTCTATCACTCAGGATGGAGTACGGTGGCACACTCATGACCACCTCAGCCTCGACCTGCTGGGCTCAGGTGATCCTTCCGCCTCAGCCTTCCAAGTAGCGGGAACTACAGACACATGTCACCATGCCTGGCTAATTTTTTGATTTATTGTAGAGACGAGGTCTTGCCAAGTTGCCTAGACTGGTCTTGAACCCCTGGGCCCAGGCAATCCTCTCGCCTCCACCTCCCAAAGTGCTGGGATTACAAGTGTGAGCCGCAGCACCTGGCTGGTGTAATTTCTTATGGCCAATTTTAGGTAAAGTTGTGACGGGATTAAGGTCTGTCCTCTATATACTCCCTTCCATCTTTCTACAACAATCAAACTGCTCCCTGAGTAACGTTAAAAACTTACTCAACCTCCATCTGTCCCTCCCTTCCATGAACACTTGCCTTTGTATTCTTAATTTGGGGAAACTTCACCATATATAACTGATAACATCAAGGGTTATGATCCTAAGGCTATTTACATTTTATTTATTTTTAAATTTTTATTATAAAGGTGTGGGGTGCAATTCAGGGTTAGGTATATAAACATTGATCATGCAGGTACCCCTGTTGATGAGGTATGCCCCTCCCTCCCCTAGCAGTTTCCCTCAACTGCCAATCCCACCCCCCTCCCCTGACAGTTTTCCACTACTGTCAATTGCTTTCTTATGCATTATAATTGTTCAAGGTCCACTTATGAGTGAGAACATATAGAACTCTGTTTTGTTTTTGTGATAAACCACTGAGTGTGATCGGCTCCAAATCCATCCAGGTTGCTGCAAAGTCCTTATATTTGTCCTTCTTTATGGCTGCATAATATTCCATCGGTGGGAACGCAAACTAGCACAACCTCTTTAGAAGACAGTGTGGCAATTTCTGAAAGAACTAGAAATTGACCTTCCATATGACCCAGCAATTCCCCTATTGGGAATATACCTGGAGGAACTAAAATTATTCTGCATAAAAGATACCTGCACAGGTATGCTTGTTGCAACTCTATTCACAATAACAAAAACATGGAACCAACCATGTTGCTCATTGAAGCTGGACTGGATTTTAAAAATGTGCTATTTATATTTTAAATTGGCATTTCAAGCCTTAAGATCAGCATTGGAGAAAAAGCTCAGCATGTAGGAGAAGAGGGATCTTATGGATGGGAGCATGGAGAGGAGAGATAGCACTGAGGTCTTCCCAGTGACTGGTCTACACACTGCTACTTCTACATTTGGCCCTAGTGCCTCTACCTCACTTATCCAATACATGCTTAATAAGTGTGTCAAACATTATACTAGGTACTAGGAATAGAGAGAGGAGGATTAAGACAGACTGATATCAAGAACTTTCCAATCTAGTCCTCTTCAATAGAAAACCACTATTTTAAAAATGTGTCCTAAAAAAAGTAGGTATTAACACACACACACACACACACACACACAACACGTACTGTACACATACACAACCTGAAACAACCAGAATACCTCCAGCTACCTTCAGCTTTAGAACACATCCTTCCTGCTGTGAAAACTATATATAAGAATGTATCTGCTGGCTGGGCTTGGTGGCTCAGCCTGTAATCCCAGCACTTTGGGAGGCCAAGGCGAGTGGATTGCCTGAGCCCACGGGCTCGAGACCTGCCTGGGCAACTTGGTGAGACCTCGTCTCTACAATACATCAAAAACTAGCTGAGTGTGGTAGTGCGTGCCTGTAGTTCCGGCTCCTTGGAAGGCTGAGGCGGAAGGATCGCTGGAGCCCAGCAGGTCAAGGCTGTGGTGACCGGGAGCATGCCACTGCACTCCAGTCTGGGTGACAGAGTGAGACTCCAACTCAAAACAAAAACAAACAAGCAAGCAAAAAATGTATCTGCCTAAACCGGGTGAAAGCTAAATATGTGCTTCGGATGCAAACTCTGCCATTACACAGAGTAAGTCAAGAGAAGCCAAGTTCAGTCTTAGAAAGATGGCCCAGACAAGAAGAGAAGTGGTTTCCCAATTGCTGTTCAGTAGGACTAACAACTGCCTAACCAGGGGCCACCTCTCAGAGATAAATGCTCAGTGACCAAGACTTGACATATCATTTCTTTATGTCTCACAGAAAATGCTAAGGTATTTTTCACATGCACAGATAACAGCTCAGATCAAGAGACCAGAAGACAACGAACAGAGACTTGTAGCCTATCAGAGGACACACCACAATGTACAGGGAACACTAGATCATGGGGAATAAGAATTGTGAATTAAAGACTGAAATTACTCCCAACTGAATAGAGGTTGTGTGAGAAAGCAATTAGGCCTAACACTATTAGGCCCCTACCAGACACATCTGCTCTTCTGTGTGGCACATCTTACACCAAGGAGAAGAGAAGGAGAGATTTTCCCCAGATGTCAGATTGAAACATTTCTTAGGAGAGGCACTGCTATGCATCGATCACTTCTAAGATGAAAATCTACTTTGGCTCTTGATGGGAGTTGAAGAGAGTGAGTCATATCGGGCCACTGCCCCCTTTATTGTTTTAATTACTTTCCTTCTACAAATGCTCAACTGTGTATGGTCGGCCCAAGAAACCCCCGCTGTGCCCTGTAAAAGGTTTCGCCTATCCATCTGACAGTTGGCTATTGGGAAATCAAAGAATGAAGTTTATCTGGAGCAAACTCAACAATGTTAAGTCCAACAACAGTCCTTGTCCCTGAGTCCATGGAAAGGTCATAGAATAAATTAACCTTATGTAATTGAACCATAGTTAATACTCTGAGGATAAGAAAAACATCTTGTATCCTGTTCCTTTTGCTGCTTAAAGTAGGGTTTGGGGGTCACAAATTCTAGGGTTTTTTTTTTTGGCAAGTCCCAGATACTGACTCTTTGGCATCGCTTCAGTCACCATAGCATCTGGGTGTCCTCAAAACACTAGAATCTGGGTAGAAAGACTCTTCTTGTTTTCCAAATGATGGCTAATTGGCAGAACTGAAACGACAGCAATGATCAGCGCAAAGAGGCAGGAGTAGCTATCTAATGCTTTTGCCTACAATAAAGAATCGTGGGATATTTGAGCAGGGCATGGTGACCTCATATCACCTCCTACAACCAATTCATTTTGCAGGTGTGAAAACATACAGAGCAGACACCCTGCCCCAGGCCACACAGCTAATTGGTGACAGAGAAAGGATGAGAAACTCGGCCTCCCGCTTGCCTAGCCAAGGGCCCTACAGACTGTCCATGCTGAATCCCCACTGATTCTCCTACTCGGGCTGACTGTAGTCAAACAGAAGAGTTTGTACTCTTTGCCCATGCACTTAGGTCACAGGCTCAACCAACTGGAGAGCTGTGACCTTTGGACAGAGATGTGGAATCAGGTGGGACAGGGATAGAAACAGAGATTACCCAGGATTCCACGCACTGGATCTGAGCTTTTCTTGGGCCAGCACTTGACTCTATTTTGCTGGCTGCTATTCTCATGGGTGGGTGCTTCTCCAAGCAGTGGCTGACTGATATTTCTGGTTGCCTTGGGGAAGGTGGTACTAGTGTTCCTCTTAACCTCTGGATTTGAAGAGCGGAAGCCCAGGCCTACCATTCAGATCAACATACAGAACAGCTCTGATGACGAGCAGGAGTGTCACTATGGGATCGTGCCTCCGTCTGATTAGACTTCAAAACCTGGTCCTCTTCAATAGAAAGCTACTGATAGATTCTAATAGTCTGTACCCTCCAAGTCCCAAAGAAAGGAATCTAGTTGGCTGAGAGAACAAGCAAGCGTTTCAGCTTTACCAGCAAATTATTGTTATGCCTGAAGGCAACATACTGCTTCTTACATGACACGTTTTGCAGAAAGAGAAGAAATGTCATGCAGAACGAGCATTCCCCTTTTTATCTAGGGTCTGACCTTATCCAGTAACATTCTTCATCCCATCAGCTGATTTGAAAAATCTAGCTTTGGTTCTTAAACATCTCTCTTCCAAACCAGATTCATAGATGGATTTGCTCAAAAAGAAGTTATCTAAAAGGCAAGTCTGTAAAGATACCATCAAATTGTACGGACTGAAGCAGTGATTGCATTGATTAACTCAATCAAGGCTATAACTCAGGGCTGGGTAATAATGAGACCCAGGCAAGGCTGAACAATGACATGCTCTAATTGATTTTACGCATGTGGAAGGACACGCCCCCTCGCCCTCGAGCATGCTATAATTAATCTGCATGCTGTGTGCATACAGATTTCACAGTGGATCAATTATACCACCCAGATGCTTCAGTTCTATGTACCCTGCAATTCACAAGCTGGTTCATTATTACAGTGTGAGTTCTTGGGACACAGGTTAAAATGTGGCAGAGCCCATGAAGCCTGTGGTCAATTCCTGTTCCCTTCAGGGGAAAGCCAACTGTGTGGCACGTGCAAATACCAGCCTCAATGCATGGGGCCTCTGGACTCTGGCATGACCACTGATTGGGCTGGAATTCCAAAGCCCTGGTTTCAATTAAACGTAAGTGGATTTGACTAAAAGTTTGAACTGATGCTAATTGGTTTTCAAAACACTGGGTAACAATAAGTGTTCTGGTCTTGCCCATGGAAAGATGCACCCAGTTCTGCACACACTCCTGGACAGCTGGGCAGGCAACCCGTCCCCTACCTTGCTGGGCAAGGATCCAAATTGCAGGATTTCAGGAGCTGTGGGGGCCGGCGGTTGGTCACGCACAGGTTCTCATCGGCAGGCTCTCGAGACTGTTTGTTCAGGCAGCTTACCACAGCCTCCTGGACACCTGTGTACAAATCACACTGTCAGGCCAGAGTGCAGAGTGGGCGTGTGTGTGTGTGTGTGTGATGATGAAGTGAAGACAAGGAAGCTGGTGGGAGGTCTCTGTGATCTGCAGGACTCTCGCTGCATGTCAGAGACGGCAGTTTAAAGCCCAGTACTGCCAATCCTGTCAAGCATCACTCGATCTGGGAGAGGGTGCTCATAAGCTTGGAGCCTCTGTAAGTATGCCCCTTGAGAAGGGCGGCTCCTCCTAAAAGAGAAACTGCTACCAATACTGTTGAAATGCTTAAAAAATGTCACCAAGCTATAGCCACCAATGCTAAAATGTGGTAATTTCACACATAAGGAGCACAGGGTGACCAAAAAAAAAAAAAAAGGCCCCAAAGATCTTCACACGTTGTATTTTAATCAATAGGAGATTGTTGCATTTGGAAGGGACAATCCCAAGGCCATGTTTTAATATCAAAAGTTCTATAAAGTGCTGTGTTCTTAGGGCCTAGCATCCCAGGACTCCAGCCTTTGCTGGTTTTCTTCCGATTCTGGTTCATTTCTTTAGTGACCTAAGGCAGCTTTGGAAGTTGGAATAAAGAAAGAGAATAAATGGCATAATAACTATAGCCATGGTAAACAACCTTCCCATGGACACCCACATGCCCTGAGTCAGCGCTGGTGACAAAGGACTTTGGGCAGTGACTGGCACAAGGTTACTTGGTAGGTTTTCCAAGGTGGTCTGCAGGACCCTTGTGGAGACTTTTACGGAGCAGGGAGGCATTTAAATGGGTAATGCAATAGCCCGATATTTCAATCTGGTGCTCATGATTATAATAACAGTACTTAACATCTACAGATTACCCGTGATTGGCCAGGTACCATGGGTAGGAGCTTGATGTATCTTTTCATCCTCTCAAAAACTCTACAAGGTAAGCATTATTTTTATCCCCATTTTACAGATAAGAAAACTGAGACTTAGAAGGTTGAAACGGTTTGCTCAAGGTCATACAGTTGCTAAATGGCAAAGGTAGCTATGTCCTTAAGTGCTGACTGACAGCATTAACGTTTAAAAATACTAAGAGGCCATCATATCTGCCTCCCTGGAGATCTTCAGGAATAACCTAGACATTTGTCTGGAATCATTTCAGCAGAGTTCAGTTTAAGGGAAGAGGCAAGCCAGACATGCTTGCTAATTTGCTTTTGGCCATACATAGATGTGTATATAAAGATGCCTACATTTAAAGACATCTATCTGTAGTTAGATATTTGTATAGAGCTGTAGCAGAGTCTGGGACTATTGGCTATATTTATAAATACACACACATTTTCTTCCTTTGTTTTCTGCATTGCTTCATCAAACAGTACCTAATGTAATACGGTGGACCCATCATGTTAGTCCTGTGGCTGATTTCCTCCTATGTTCTCCCAAGAAGTCATCACCCAAATGGATGGCTAATGCTTCCTAAGTTGCTGTGACTCTGACTTAGGTCACTTAGCAAGACTATCATTCAAAAGTGACACCTCAAAGCCAGAGTCAAATCACTTTTCTTTCTTCCTTGCAAAATCTGCTAAATCAAACATTTTTTTTTTTAAAAAGTAGTCACAATATATACCCTGTGGTCATGATGGTCTCTTTTCCATTTTCTTTTTTCCTTTTTTTAATGAGCCACAACATTTAATTGAAATAAATCATGGCCAGTTCAGGGTGGAGCATTTGAGATTTATACCGGACATTCAAATTACTCTATCATTTTCTGTAATGCTGACTACAGGGTGTTCTCTTGGCTGCAGCTGGGATGAGCCATCTGAAATTCATGGTATGATGATATAGCCAAACACTTCATAAGAAATTGTTGATATCATCACTGATTCTTCCCACTGGAGCAGTCTGACATTATTAAGGTAATGATGACTAGTCACTGGTGGTAGCTTTCCATTCTATGTGGTTCTCTTAGACATACAGTTTTCAATTCATTTGGCTATTTGGTAGTATTCAAGAAAGTGTTACACGCCTTACTTGAAAGTGCCTGCTTCAGGAGCGTGTGAGGGTGTGTGGTGTTGTGAACCGCGTCTCTACTTTGTGAACTCTTTGTCTGTAGAATGTGGGCCCTTCCAAGACTGCAAGAAGTAGGGACAGTAAGGACTACATTGCTAGAAAGGCATTAATAACCTCTCCTCTTAAACATGTAAAACACAGATTTACATTACCCCAAACCAGTAATCCTAGCTCAATGATAAAAATAACCTATGGGTGGCTAAGTGCTGAGATTACGAGGCATTCCAGAGTTACTACGTTCTAATCTAAAGTATTCCAAAACAAGGTACTAGGCACCCTCAACACTGTGTATTAAATCTCTATTGTCATAGGGACCAGTTGCCTCAGCATTGTTTTTTTTTAATATTTTATTTTTTATTTCAATCCCATCCAATTTTGCTCATGTTTGCAAATATCTTGGCCCCTGAGAGCAATTTTTTTTTTTTTTTGAGTCAGTCTCACTCCGTCACCCAGGCTGGAGTGCCATGGCACACTCACGGCCACCCCAGTGTCGACCTGCTGGGCTCCAGCGATCCTTCCACCTCAGCCTTCCAAGTTGCCAGAACTACAGGTAGGCGCTACCACACCTGGCTCATTTTTAATTCATTGTAGTGACAAGGTCTTGCCGAGTTCCCTGGGCTGGTCTCGAACCCGCGGGCTCAGGCAATCCACTCGCCTCGGCCTCCCAAAGTGCTGGGATGACAGGCTGAGCCACCGAGCCCGGTCTGCCTCATCATCCTTAGGTGGGGCTGGGGTGGTAGGGGAAACTAAGGACAGAAATTCTTCCATAGTTAAGGCGTCTTTGGGGCCAGCCCTGTGGCCAAGACAGTGCATTTTTGTGGGATGAATGAATGCAGTGGCTAAAGGGCGGGGCATGCTAAGCATAGCCTGTGATTGAGGCTAAGGGGAGGTGAGAAACGACGTCTCCGTCTCGGGACAGGAACCTGGAGGGAGGAAGCGGCCCTGGAATGGGGATTGTGGGAAGGTGGAGGACTGAAGATCTGAGGGCTTCCCCTTGGAGTTCACAGTACAGTTCGTTGGCCCAGGGGAGGCAGCAAGGCTCCTCCCTGAAGTTAGCGTGTCAAGTTCGTGCTCTTTCCAAAAGAGTTAATGGATGCTCTTAGAAGGACATTTTAAACTGACAGAGAACATATGTTGAAGCACCATGCTTTGTGAATCTGGATTTTCCTTGCTTGACAGAAGCAAAAGGAGAGAGGACTCATAAGGAAAAGGGAGTAACAGGTACATGGCTTCACTTGTCCTTCATTTTGGCTGAAGTCAATTTCAAGTTTTTCCTCAGCTGAATTTTCACGTGGATTTTACTGTCTAGGAGCTCAGTATAATAAAGACGATCAGGTTCAAGACTGCTCTCCTTGATAACTCCTGTCCATTCACATATGAGAAATTAAAATATCACAAGGAGGTGACACAGGACACAGATTTGAACAGGTTAGGCTCACTTTCAGTCTTCCAGAAAATGGAATTTTCAGTGTTTATATCTCCCAGGATAGCATAATTGTTACACGATATTTGATGACAGCTCAGGGAAACACAGCCACCAACTACAGACTAAATGACTAACTAGTTCCTTCTGGTTGCTACCTCTGCTAGGCAAAAGGTTACTTTTGTGTCTGTACAGTTTCATCTCTTGAGATTATAAAAAAATACAATTAGCCTGACCAGCCTTACAACCCAAAATTGGTTTAAAATCTATTTGTTAATCCTATACGTTTTGGTTTGGTTTCGGCAAAAACAATTGAAAATAGATATAACCTTATGGGTTATATTTTAGCTAAAGATCAAAGTTGGGAATACAATAAAATGTTACTGCCAAACAATGACTTGAAAATATACATGCCCCATATAGTGAAATAATTTTAGTGCATATTGGCATCATATGGACCATATAACCCAAGTACTTTGGAATTTTCAACTCTAACATTTTAGGCGTAAATATATTACCTTGGCACAGGACATAACTGTAGGTAAGTGTGCTTCATTGTTGACATTTAAAGACCTAAAATATTTCAGTAACTTTACCCTGCCTTGGATATAAAGGGTGTAAAATTTATGTTATACAAAAACACCCAGTTCCTATAGGTAGAGATCAATTGTATTCAAACATCCAAATTTTATTTCTACATCAATATCTTCTGAAAACATTTTAAATTAAATACATTCCACATACACTTTGAGTTTTATACCTCTGGCTGGTCAGCAGAATGGTTAGACTCTTAAAAGATAAAGGTATCTGATTATTTATATATTCCATTACTACTCTATTTTTTCCATCTGTTCATAAAGTTCCAGGCTTGACTTGTAACTGGGAACCATAACTGAAGGATCATAAATAATTTTTTTTTTCAAAGCACATTTGTTTTAGACGAGAAATAACGATCATTCAATTCAGGTGATCATGAAAATTGGGGACAAAAGCCCAACCAACTACATTCTGAGTCATTCGTTATACTGGAAAGAAGCAACTTCAGCCACTGGCTATGGCCTTTCCGCCTGACCTCTCAGTTCCTGCCCAGGCTGCAGAAATCAGCAAAGCTAATTTAACTTCCCCCTCATTAAGCATGAAAGAAAAGATGTCCTCAAAGCGAATGAAGAGCACCATATGAACACAGTTACATTAGCTGAGTTCCAGGAAGCTATCTTCCAGAACCATTTGGAAGAATTTAGGTTTTAAAACACCAGGGCTCTCCATTAAAACACGTCAGAATTCCATGGTCTGAAACTGGAGGATGAGGAAACAAACAAGAACTCAAAGTCAGGACTATGAAACACTCATGAAAAGGCCTGCTGGAGAAAATATGGATTCTTTGCTAGCGCTTGTTCCACTGTTCAGTTCTTTTCAACTCCCTGTGAATAATGTGGGCATGTGTAACCTTACATTCTCCCTCATGACAAAACATGTATCTTCAAAGGGTTCCCAAAATGACACGGTTTAGAAAACAGTTTTAAGAAATAATTAAGGGCTGGACGCGGTGGATTACGCTTATAATCCCAGCACTTTGGGAGGCCGAGGCAAGAGGATTGCCTGAGACCGCGGGTTTGAGACCAGCCTGGGCAACTTGGTGAGACCTCATCTCTACTTAAATCAAAAGAGTAGCTGGGCGTGGTGGCACGTGCCTGTAGCTATTTGGAAGGCTGAGGTGGAAGGATGGAAGGATCACCGGAGCCCAGCAGGTCGAGGCTGCAGTGGCCGTGAGCATGCCACTGCACTCCAGCCTGGGCGGCAGAGTGACAATCAGACTCAAAAAAAAAAAAAAAAAAAAAAAGAAAAGAAAGAAATAATTAAGTTAAATAAGCATCTTTGCTGGTAGTGCAGAACCTCATCAACATCTCTCTTGGGAGTAGATGTGGGAGACAGTGGCAACATGAATCTGATGTATTTTCTACAGTGGAAAGAAAGATCGCAGTCTTGAAGAATTGACCGTTGACCCCCATACCCTTCCCTCCCACTGCAGTCCTATTAATGACATCTGAAAATAAAGAAGCGCTGACTCTGCTATTCTATCACCGGGGAGTATACCTAAGAGAACCACGTGAATACATGGAAAACCTTGAACATTAGTTAACTAGTACTCAGAATCAGAAAGCATCAGGAATTCTCTAGCTTCTTAAGGAAGTGTGGCTTCAGGGAAAGACACTAGGCAGAGAAAGAAAAGCTGCAACCTAGTGCCAGCTCTGTCACTTACTAGTGACATTCTGTTTCTTTGCATCTTAGTTTTCTCATCTGCAAAATGGGGGTGGGGTCAGACTTTGATCTTTCGACTACTTCTCAGCTCCAGGTAACCACTGTGTTTATTACCCTTTATGTTTCCTTCCCTATATATAAATATGTATATGCTTGGGATGTCAGCTGATTCCATTAGGAGGTCTCTAACTTGTTCTTGAGAATCGCAGGAGGCTTTGCTGTGTTGGGTTCACACCACGTGCGCTGAGGTAAGGGCACAGATCAATAAAACTGAATGTGGAGAGCATTGCCAGGTCAGCGTCAACTGTGTTTCTCAGCCAGATACACGATACGTTGCAAAACATCAGAATGACAACCGCAAGCAAAGGCATTCGTCGAACTGACCACTCGCAGCTGACAGTCTGAGAGCCACTCGAGCCCAAAGAGAACTACATCTGTGTTTCATTCAGTATGCTTTTACATTTAGCATGGCTGCCTCCCCCCGCGTCCCACCCCTTATCCTTCTTGGACTAGAGGCAACATGACCCAGTTGCACGTAGAGAGAGAAGAGACAGAGAAAGGGCAAGCAGACGGTGGGAATCTGAGCCAGAGCGCCCCTTCTTACCTCCTCCACAGGACTCGGAACACTTGGTGAACCCCTCATATTCCCAGTCATACAGCTCATCGAAGTCCTGCAGGCCGCCGAAGAGCCCATCTGTCCCGTCTGGGCTGAATTCAGGAATTTCCCCGTGGCAGGGTCCCGCATAACAGGCACGCTGGGATGCCGGCTTGGGCCCTTCACACTCGTCAACAGGCAGGTCAGCCACGGACTGGGAGAAAGACAGGAGCACCTGGCACCTGACTATTCGCACCTGGGTCCCCACGCCACAGGTGACAGTGCAGGCCGACCAGGCATCTGGGATGAATCTGCAGTCAACAAGCAAACAAGAGGACAGGGTGAGAAGCCCCAGGCAGGAGGCCACGGGGGACGTGAGGGGTTGCATCCCATCTGCCTCCTGCGCCCGGAGCTGTCCCAGGATGTGCTCAGGCCTCCTCCAACCTGTCCTGTGATGGTGCTTCTGTTTGGTTCATAAGCTCGTTTGCCATTGCTCCTGGATTGCTTGCTTTGTGAAAGTCACATGAACTCCCAGCTGTAAGACATTCCAGCCCGAGACCACCTGCTTACTCCCTGCATTGCACCCCCAGTGGCTGCTCTTCCAAGCAGGGAATTGGTGGTTTCTTCCCACTCTAAATCCCAGCACTTGTGCCTCTTGCAAGATGCTGGCTATTCTTATATCAGACTAATACAGATACTAAAAACTATAACAAAATAAGCCCTTGGAGATATTTAAGGAAGTCTTAAAAAAAAAAAAAAATCTGGGTCTCATATTCTGTAACTTTCTTTGCTTAATGTTCTTCTCAAGATTTATTTATATGTATAAAGAGTTTTTTTTGTAAGTTTCCAAGAATGGTACAAAGTCTCATTCCTCACACATTCTTTGAATTAGTCTGAACTCCAATTCCTTTTATATCATAGAGAAAAGCCACGCTACAAATTTAAATCCACAGGCATTCCACAGTAAACGAGAGGTTCTGCATTCATACAAGCATGTTCAACGTCCTTCACACCCCTTCCCCTGAAGATTCTCACACTAGTGAGAATTTGTTTTTCTCTAGAATGTAGGAAAATATTCAAATCCCCCAAAACTCCCCCCGAGGCCATGATTAATCAGTCATAGACATAACTGCAACAACCTTGAGAGGGGTCTCGGAAATAAAGTCCAGAGGGAACCACAGACATTTTCAAACAGTTAGTATAATAATTCAGAGAAAGAACTTTAGGACAATTTAAAAAATTTTTTCCACGAGCCTATTGCTGTCTCATAAAGAGTTGTGCTGAGGAGGCATGCAAACCTGGCTCCTTAACCTTGACTTTGGCAGTAAATGAAAGAACTGATAAGAAGGTTAGAGCATAAAATCCTAACAAGTGTAAATGGTTCATCTCTAGTTCAGAGAAATGGAAATTCTAACAGCAGACCAATCCAAGTTTTCAAACTGGAAGAAACACAACAAAGATGTTTCCTGGGCCCAAGCCTGGGCTTCACGTGGAACAGAAGTGGTCTGCTCAAGTAAGCAAGACTTCCCCCAAAGCAGTACACAGCACACTCTGAGGCACGGCGAGAGACCCCTCAAGAAGGGGCTGCCCCAGCTACCTTCACAGAGCCATCCCCCAGAAGAGAACAAAGGTCACCACACAACCCTGCCAGGAAGGCAGATGAGGATGGAATGGCCACCCAGATTTATTCCCAAGAAATTCTCATCACACTTTCACCTCCCTCTCATGTTTTTGATTTCTTTTCTCCATCTTCTGCACCTAGAGAACTTGGGGGAAAAAATAGTATCCTGAAGATTAAAAAGTCTTGTCTTTAAATAATGCCACCTGCAAAAGTTTAGAAAAACAAAACTAAAATCTGCACTCAAAACCATGTTTACCCTCTTATTACACATTCACATACACCTGCCTGGCTCCCAGAACATGAATCAGGACAAATATACAGGCATTGAATTTTACAACACAGGTGTAGACATAAAGAAAACTGTACATTAAACTATTTTGAATATAAGGACGACACAAAAACAAAAGGTTAGCCTGCCAACTTTGACAACTGTGTGATGACTAATGCTTCTTTAATAATGTAGTAACAAGTTTTGTTTTCAGATCAGAAGAATTGAAAGATATCCAAACAAACAAATACCTGTACCCTACTTGCTTTTCCTATGCAGTAGGGATTATTATCCTGTCACCTGTAAAGGTGACATTACAATAGATCAAGAGCCAGCCAGTTTTTCCTGTAAAGGACCAAAAAAAAAAAAAAAAGTATTTTAGATTTTGTGGGCTCTGTGTTCTCTCTTGCAGCAACTCAAATCTGCCATTGTAGTATGAATCATGTAAACAAATTAGTGTGGCCCTGTTCCAATAAAGCTTTAGTTATAAAAAGGTAGGGGATGGAATAGTGATGGAAAGGTCTGAATTTGGCCTGTGGGCTATAGTTTTCCAACCCCTGCTGTAGAATCCGAACATTTGGTAGAGATACCAAACACACTGATATCCACAGACACTCCTCAAACTTATTTTAGGTCTTAGTTTCCATCTCTTTCCACATACGTAAGCTTATAGTACGACAAGTAGCCAACTTGATTTATGTTTTCAAAGTGAGTCCCAGATGAAATCTAAAATATAAATGATGTACAAACTGGGCCCTTAGCTCTCCTCGCCTACAATGTGAATGACCGTACTTGATCTCTTTCCAGAACCAGGAAGATATACCAAAGCCACACAAAGTAGAAAGGGTATGATACTGAAGCCCCATGAACTTGTTGTAGTGGCTGAAACATGTTTGTTTTAAAGCAGCATGCTTAAATTTAAAAAAATAGATATAAAACAAATATGTATGCACATATATGTGCTTATATACTTGTGTATGTGTGTATTTTTTTTAAAAACTATCTGGACATTTAGGGTTAAGAGTAAAAACAATAAACATCTGCTTTATGTCTCCCAAGTGAGAGCTTTATCAAATGTAAAACAGCCTCACTGGCTTATCTCCCAATCCACTATCCTCAGGTCTTCATCAAGTTCACACCAATTAAAAACAATTTGGATTCTAAGTAGTGCTGTCCTTTGGCAGTTGTCTTAATTTCTCTAGTGCATACAGTGTATGATATAATATATTCTCTCTTGTTGAAGGCAGGAGATTATGTTTCAAAAGAAAAATATCTGATAGTGCAAATGGCCAAATGAATAATAACTGTTTTTCTTACGAAGCTTTTCCCAAAGTCCCTAGATCTCCCAACTCTGTATTTACTATCTTGAGTTTTCTGGCCACAAGTGGGAGGAAGCAAGGTCAGTGAGAGGGCAGGCAAGTGAGTTAGGAGGTTTAATTTCAATGTTTCAAAGTCTCATCTTGAATAGCACTTTCTGGGTTAGATCCTCTAAGCTGGGACCTTTAAAATGAAGTGCAATCTTTTTTGTTTTGTTTTTAAATCAGTATGTTAATCATTCTGATGTGCAAATAGACAATGAAAATGTTCTTATTATGAAAATGTAATTTAGGTAATTAAAAATTCTTTTTGCTAGCAGCACCACTGTTGGATGAATGAAGAATGGCTTGACAAGCGAGTTCTTTTAAAAAATGACTGTACTTGATCTCTTTCCAGAACCAGGAAGATATACCAGGCTCAGTGGCTCAACCTATAATCCCAGCACTTTGGAAGGCCGAGGTGAGTAGATAGCCTGAACCTGAAGGTTCGAGACCAGCCTGGGTAACTTGGCGAGACCTCGTCTCTACAATAAATAAAAAATGAGTTGGGTGTTTTAGCACACGCCTATAGTTCTGTCTACTTGGAAGGATGAGGTGGTAGGATTGCTGGAGCCCAGCAGGTTGACGCAGGAGTGGCCATGAGAGTGCCACTGCACTCCAGCCTGGGTGACAGAGTGAGACTCCGACTCAAAACAAAGAGTGTAAACTCCAGAAGTGTCTGAAATGATTTTTACATTTAGTCTTCCTATCTCCAGAAAATTAAAAACAAAACCAAACTGTACCTGGTAAATGAATGACTTATGCTTCTGTCTGGTCTCCTATTAGCAAGCTGAATTATTCATTTCATTATCAAAAAGTATATGCTTTCATTAGAAGAATTACTATAGTCTCTTTTATGAAGTAGAAAACAGAGACAATAAAAATCACTTGTAAAATCCCTGTGATTTAGTTTATTAGTGACTATTAAAGAGTTAGAAGCATGCACTGAAACAAACAAAACAATCACAATTAATATACCACTCAACAGAAACAACTGACTCTTGGTTAATTAGTCTCCTGTCACCACAGATATTAGCCAGAGTTAGGCTCGAGTTGTACGTATCCATGATCTGTAACTAATATATTTAATATATCCTTTTCTCCCATTACTTTCCTCTCTCTTCCTTTCTGATAAATGCTTGTTTTTAAAAAGCCACTGGAATTATTCAAAATAAGATTAGCTTTTTATTTTGATGCTTGGGGCTGTTGCTAGCCTCATACCTTAGTTTCAAAATGCAAATTGAAATGTGCACGAAATCACATTAAAAGACTCAACTTTGGTATAGTTTTCAGTCTTATTACATTTTGTGCTGAGTCAATAGGAGTAGTGGATTTCTCTTTACCTCTTTCATACAGTGTCTATTTGGGTAAGTGTGGTGGCATGATAGTAGGGTGAGGAAAGAGAAGGGAACAGATGGAATAGTGTGTGGGAGAATTATGAAAAACTTTAAAATAAATCAAGAAGATTACTAGATAACCCATTAAGTGCATCATTCTTGGTTATCTCAGCCTTTTAATGGCTTAGAGCTATTTTGTCACTCTACAAGTGGAGAAAAATGAATAGCGCAAATGATTCTTGTCCACAGAAATGTAGATTGTGTCTAGTGGATTGCAATTGATTGTTGCCCCATGGATAGACCTATTTTGCATCTATTCATAAATGCACTTCAGTATTCTTATATGTATGATATATATGTGACTAGATATGTATGATCTTTTAACATTTCCTTTGAATTGGTTGTAACATCTTATAGGTTCCCTCATTAGTTAATGAGATAAGTAAAATCTTTGATAGATGCTCATTTTATATTTGCATGAGAATGATGGGTTTTCCCTTTTAAAAATTTTATCATTAACTACTATTGGCCATGAGGGATCTGGAAAATAGTATATTGAAAAAATAAAATATTGTATAGGTAATTCTACTCCAAATTAACCAAAAAACCTTTTACATAAATATATCATTTGGGAGGCCAAAAAATCACATGCTTTATTGGTAATAATATGCTCTTCCATATCGCCTCATCTTATTTTTATCTCAACCTTCCATCTTCTTATCCTTTTTCC